AAGTGCCGATCTCTACACGGTCAAAAAATGCCCTGTTTACCTTAGATTACCCTGGATTGGTAGAAAGTGTGAAAAAATGGCCAAACAAATTTCATCAAAGGTTCGCTGCTACTTTTTCTCTGCTGAAGTTCGGATTATTTTTCAAATTCGGCCTATGTTTCGATCTGCGTGTAAAGACGTTCTCCCTCCCCACCATATTAATTCAATTGTTTACAAATACGTTTGTAGTTGCGGAGCCAACTACATAGGGAGAACAACTCAGCGCTTAGACACTAGAATAAAGCAACACGTTCCTACTAAAATTAGAAACCACACCTTGCCTTCGAGTGGACTCGTCCCGAACACCTACAGTTCCGCCATATGCGAACATCTTTTGGAGCAGAGACTGTTCCGCCAAAAAATAGTGTCGACTGGTTCACCGTGTTGGCCTGGTCACACTTTGTATTTCATCTGAAGGTTCTGGAGGCGCTTTACATCGGGTCCAGCAAGCCTTCTTTGTGCAAACAACGTGAGTTTTTGCTGGGATTCGCTGTCATCTGCCTCTAGTTTTAATTTATACGAACATATATATATATATATGTGTGTGTGTAATTTTTTTTTTTCCACCTATTCTTATTGTACATTTCTCTGTTTTAATTTTCAATCTCCCGTGGAAGCCTGGACGAGCGGGAGCGAAACCGGTTGCTTCCCCTGTTGTTGAGTTTTTTTTTTATTATTTAATACTGTTTTAATATGTCTTGTAATATTAAATTTTATACTTTTATTTCGATCATTAAATTTTGTACCTACAAAAATATCTTTAAATATATATATATATATATATATATATATATATATATATATATATATAATAGCTGGCCACTCGTATTTGAGGATACCCGTCTGCTAGGGAGGCTAGCCAATCCCTATTGCAGAAGCTCGACCAAGCACATTTGTGTTTGTTCAACACCCACAGAGAGCCTACCCGTGGTTTATACTGCAACTATGCTGAGCAGTTACAATTTATAGGAGAGAGCGTGTTACCTCGCATGATTAACAAGCTGAACAATCGCCAGCACTCTGAAGCCCTCTGTCACGATGACTTGTGACTTCGTGCTGGCATAGATATCGACGGCCACTAAGTTCTACCCAATTTCACTCACAAGGCTTGGGTCAACCCATCGTATTGTTTTTCAGGCACTTTCCACTCCAGACCGATAACTCTCCTTCCTGACAAATCAACCGTGGTGAGATTCGAACGCGGGTCTCATTGGTCAGAAAGTGAACGTTCTAATCCCTCGGCCATGCGCCCATAATATATATGTATATATATATATATTATTTTACCCATAGCAAGATCATAGTATCATTCAGTTACCAGGTGTTACTGAAAGTGAAAGAAAACGAGAAAACTTTAGTGAGGAGAGAGGACAATAAAAGAACAGTTTCAGTCAGACAATTGATGGCGATTGATGATCCTTTAAATATTTGAAGACCATAGGCGCCAGCGAAACAAGAGACCAGAAGACATTTCCACATTCGAGAGGTGCGAGAAAAGAAACGATGTGACCTCTTTAACAATTTAGTAGTATACTTAAATTCATGCGGTCGAGGTACCAAGGGGGAAAGGTCATTAGAAGAATTGCCATGGAAATATTTCTAGAAAAAATACAGGGAAGCCACGTCACGATGGCGGAAAAATGGGTGAAGTTGAGATACCAAGTCCGGACCGATGACACGATACGCCCTTTTGCGAATTATGTTGAAAATCTCGAGATATATAGCTTAAGCATCAGACCAGATATAGAAGCAATATATATATATATATATATATATATATATATATATATATATATATATATATGACATATGACAAAGTAGAAAAACATTTTTCGTGTGATGCGTTTCTTCCCTTAGGACTAAGTAGGATATATATATATATATATATATATATATATATATATATATATATATATATAACCTTAAAACTTAGCTACTCCTTCACAAATAATAATATTATTAATTCACATGATAATAAAATATTAAACAAATTTTATAACAATAACCAAACGGATAGCAAACCTTTTTGTAACCGTAGAACCAAACACAACTATCAAGTTGGAGGTATATACAAATACGAAAATGTTAGATACCAAGTTACAATTTTCCCTAAAATAAATGTGACTAATAAAAAAGTATACATCGGAATTTCCGCTGGGATCCGGAAGCAGAGGTTCTGCAATGACAAGCATTCTTTCTCTGACCCTTATCTTAAACACCAGACAGCTCGTTCTAAATATTTCTGGGAATTAAAGGATAGAAACTTCAGCCCACTGACTGAATGGAAGATTATAGGCAAATCCCAAATCCCCAACAGCTTCAGAAATAGATGTAATTTGTGTCTAGAAGAAAAAATTAAAATAATTAAATGAAAAAAATAATAGCTAGCTATTGAACCAAAGGAATGAAATCATATTTAAATGTCATCGTAAAAATAGATTTAAATTATCTTATAAATAGTTTTTTTTTAATTTTGCAGTCATACAATTATTTTGCAGTATTTACTGAAAGTCATATGGCTTTATTTATGTATATGTATATATTTTTGTGTATTTATGTATGTGTGTATATATGTGCAGTTTAGACTTCCTGTTCTCATACTTGGAGTGGAATAAACAAATAAGACGTTGTTTCTATAGTGCTCTGATATCTGGATATAGCCATTATAATATCTAATGAAGACAGATTTTTTAAAAACTGAGTGAAAAAAATGAACTCTTCCTAAGGCTAAAAATCACGGTTCTTAAACGGTGTGGATATCAAGCGGCAGATGCTTGTGTTTTCATTAATTGATAAGTACTTATTTACTAATTATAGTGAAGAAGATGTTCTTTCTTTAAAAAAAAGGGAGAATAGAGGCATGCTTACCGCGATGTTCTTCGTGACCGAGCGATAAAGCGAACCAGATCAAACGGTGGCTTCCGCTACGATGGGGGGGGGCACAGTTTTGATTCCAGTCAGAGAGCACGTATTCTTTATTAAGATTTTGCGATGGCTTAGAATCCGATAGGCATAATAAACACTGTTTAAAATAAAATGTAATTTCCACTATAATAACGTCTATTTCAAATGTATATATAATTTATATATATATTACTTTCAGCCACTTAGCTGCAATAGGGTGAGGTTACTGAGTATTAAAAAAAATGAGAAATTGAGAAACATTATTAAGAATGAAGGACAATAAAAGAACAGGAATTAAGAAGACAGAAGATAATTATTGACATTGCATTTAAATTTTTGAAGATCAAAGTTGACTGGAAAGCAAGAAGCCAGAAGAGAGTTTCACAAGTGAGAAGTGCCACAGAAGAAACTGTTAGGTTACATCTTGCAATTTCAACTGTAAAATGAACAGACCTAACTGCCAATCTAGTACTGCGCTTAACGGGCCTATTCACACTGGTTTACTCTTGGTATCGTCCTATAATGCACAAGAAGTGAACATTATAGAGATAGAATACTCATCGTAATTTACTTTCGCAATAAAGCGTTTTCAGGGTCTGTATTTACTGACGTGCTTTTCTTAAACGTAAAGCGTAAATACTAGTGCAGGAGTAGACAAGGCAATTATCACCCTCATCACAGGACGCATACTACTGATGTCTTAAGAGGCATTTTAAGTTCCCGTGACAGCTTGTTCGGGAGGAAAGTCAGTTGCTACATAGTTTTCCACGGACGAGGACGCAAATAACATGCGTTCTGAACGGGAACTGAGAAGATACCTCTTTGGGATATTTCAAGAAATAAAAAAAACAACTTCTTTTTATTTGTCCCCTGCACATACTTCTTGACTCTTTGTACTTAAATTGCACCGTGTGAGACAATTCGTTACACACACACACACACGAACACACATACACACATATACAGGGTACGATGGATGAATTGTTGTGTAAATTACGCAAAATTGAATATTAACAGATATATTTACCAAAATTAGACAAAAAATATTAAAGAGTAAATTTATTCAATAAAATTGCTATTGGCTTCAACAACAGCCTCCATAAGACATCTGAATCTCCTGCAACTCTTCTGGGCTGTCATCTTGTTTAAGATGGTGAATGCTGCCATAATCCTTGCCTTCAGTTCGTCTTTGGTGTTACAAGGAATTTTGTTGATCTCTTGCTCAACTGCGCCCCACATGTAATAATCAAGGAAGTTGCAGTCTGGGGAGTTAGGTGACCAGATGTAAAGGATGATGTGGTCGCAGAAATTGTCTGACAGCCATAACTGGGTTGTCCTGTTTGTTGCAAATCCAGTTGCCTGACATAGTCTTCAAGCAGCCACCATCTTGACTCAGGGAAGCACTACCTCCTCAAGGCACTTGATGTCGGCCTCCGTGTTGAGTCTAAGGTCCTCACCAACAAATTCGGAAGTTCTTTTTTATCAGAATGATCAGAGCGAGTTTTTCGAGCTGCTATATCTTCGTAATCGCCATTAGACTCATCAAACTCTTTTTTCCTAATCCTCTGTACAGTCCCTGTACAGTCCTCAGATTGACACCTAAATACACCGAAATATTCGTACTGGAGCTTTTGGCGCGAATGTCAAACAGTACAGCATGTCGTTTCCAAATTTTTGGCCAAGTGAATTTTTTTCTCACAGACGGTGCCCAACTGCCCCTAATACACTGTGCCGTCAACAAAATACCCCCCACAAAAAAAACATAGCATTCAAGAAATTAATAATATAAAATGGCTACAATTTACCTACCCTCTCTTTCTCTCTCTCTCTCTCTCTCTCTCTCTCTCTCTATATATATATATATATATATATATATATATAGTCTTAAGATGTGCTATATTTATGGGATAAAGTGCTCAATATCAGAGATAGTGCGTGTGTAAATATAAAATTGAACATAGAAGTCATGCAGATGCAATTGTCAGTCCTGACGATTGCATCTAGCATGAAACAGACTGTCGTCTCTAAGTGTTGACTTCTATGTTCAATTTTATATATATATATATATATATATATATATATATATATATATATATATATATATATATATGAGTTGTGTGTGTGTGGACTGGACTGCATATTTAGTATGACGTAAGAATAGAATACTCATATTTTGTATTCAGAATGTTTTAATTTATTTCTGCTCTTTTGCAATTTTAATTGGCTAAATATTTTAATGCTTACTTTTTCTTTTTTTTTTACAGACCACTGGAACTTGAGTAAGTAGAAAGTATTCAAAAATATACCAAAAAATATAACCCCAGCAATGTCTACGAAATTATGCTTCAATAAAAAACTTTTCCGAAAATATGATTCAATAAAATGATTCAGATGTTTAATGCAAGCTTCTCATATTGTAGTTCATCAGAAGATTGCATTAAAATCGTAAATTTCAAAGTTTAATAATTATTCAGGTACCACCCAGCGTCCATTGCATCCGAATACTTTGAAGTACATTGGTGAATATTTTAAAGTTTGCTGGAAAATAAAACACTTTATAATTTATTTTGTTTCTAGCCTGTATTTTTCAATCAATATCAAGCGAGTTTTGAAACATTTTCGTTTTAACAATTGTCACAAACGTCGCTTCGATCAAAGTTTACGACACCTAAAGTACTTTACGGTAATTAAGGAAAACAAGATAAATTCAAAACGGATTAAGAAAACAAAATATTAACAAAGCAAGACGGATTAACAAAACCTGATGAACTTGGGTGAATGACGGATTAAACAGTAAAAAGTAAACAATGGATTTAAAACAATGGATTACGAAAATATATTGGATTAAAAAACTATAGATTAAAAAACACGTTAAAACGACGGATTATGAAATCATGACGGATTAAGTATAACTGACGGATTTAAAAATATGATGGATTATGAAAAAATTTCAGGATATGAAAGCATTCGGATTATCAAAACAATGGTGATTTAAAAACGATGATGTAAATGTAACAGATTAAGGCAGAAAGAGATAAATAAGAAATTAAAAAAATGGTTTACGAAATCATGACAACGGATTAATATTACTGATTAAGAAAACTGGACACGTTCAGAAAGTAAGAACTTAAAGAATAATGTCGGATTAAAGAACATTGAGTTTAGAAAATATGAAAATATAACAGATTAACTAAATATATTTGTTTACGAAATGCTGCATAATAAAAAACGGATTAAAACTACTACAGATTAGTAGAATATGACTCAATAATAACAACGGATTAAGCAAAAATGATCGATTAAAAACAACAGATTAGAAGAATATGTTGGATTAAAAAGAATGAATAATGAAAACATGAAGGATTAGAGAAGTAAGCAAACGTATTAAGCAAACATATTTGATTAGAAATTACAGATTAAGAGAATTTTTTTTTAGCATTACGCCCCGAGCAAGGCGTGAAGCCACTAGGATTCAGGGGGTTGCAGAAGATTTAGAGCGAGAGCAGATAGGAGTGATAGAAGAAAGGGTGAGGAGAAGGATAGTGGGTAGATCAAGGTAACTGGAGGTGTCGATTGACATTACATTTGAATAGTTGGAGATTATAGCTCTCAGGGAAACAGTAATTGGGAAGGGTGTTCCACAGGCGAGAGGTGCAAGGTATGAAGCTATTGGAGTAGAAGAGACGGCTACATTTAAAAGTTTCTACAGTGTAAGGGTGGGAGCGGGATGGCAGCCTTCATAGGGCGCTTGAATTCATGGAGTCTGGGAACCAGTGAAAGCAGCTCATCGGAGCAATTACCATGAAAGTATTTGTAGAAAATACAGAGAGAGGCGACGGCGCGTCTGTGAGAGAGTGACTGTAGACGAGACGCCAGATCAGGGCCAATTATATTACATATCCGTCTCTGGATCTTGTCAAGAACTCCGAGGTAAACAGAAGGTGCCCCAGATCATATATGGCAGCAATACTCCATACAAGGGCGAATGGTTGATTTTTATATTTGAAGTATCGATTCCGGGGGGAAAAATTTCCTGGTGCGGCACAGAGAGCCAACTTTCCTCGTGATGGACGAAGCAATTGACTCAATGTATTTGTTCCATCTCAGGTCAGCAGTCAACGTGAGACCGAGCAGACGCAGAGAGTTGCTCTCAAGAAGTTGACTATCAGACATTCTAAGGATTATAAGGATACGAATGATTAAGCAAATATAATGGATTAAAAACAAGAAATTAAGAAAATATGATGGATTAATAAATCAATGGATCAATGAATCAACTGTTAAACAAATATGACAGATTAAAAAGGATTAAGTCGTGAATCAAGCATAACAGATAACAAAACATCGGATTAAGAACGGAAAAACAATGGATTGCTGGACGGAAAAAACAATGGATAAAAAAATTGACGCCTGAGACAAACATGAAAAATTAAATAGAAATTAAGAAAACATAAATAAAGGGATAAGAGAATAAAGGGGATACGAGAATAAAGGGGATAAGAGAATAAAGAGATAAGAGAATAAAAGAGGTAAGAGAATAAAGGGATAAGAGAATAAAAGGGATAAGAGAATAAAGGGATAAGAGAATAAAGCGATCACATCACATCTGTTTTTTTTTTTTAAATTTTGTCACATTTGATTTTTATATTAGGAATATTTTCACATTTAATTTTTATATAAGGGATATTTTCACATTTGATTTTTATATTACGAATACTTTCACATTTGATTTTTATATTTGGAATATTTTCACATTTGATTTTTTTTTTTTGAAATTTTTTCACATTTGATTTTTATATTAGGAATATTTTCACATTTAATTTTTATATAAGGAATATTTTCACATTTGATTTTTATATAAGGAATATTTTCACATTTGATTTTTATATAAGGAATATTTTCACATTTGATTTTATATGAGGAATATTTTCATATTTCATTCATCGTTTTTAAAGCAAGTTTTTTTTTCGGTGCTTTCTCAATTGCCTGAAAATTACCTGTTGTGCAAGAATTCGCAATGATTTCAAGTTATTTTTGTTTCCAAATAGCAACCTCAAATGTATATATAATGTGGCTGATGGCGAAGGTCCTGAATGGTTCGTGACTGTGACTGTTCAAATTGAGATTGAATTCTATCAAGCCTTAATAGTAAGTAGTTCCTCTTCATGTATTTCCTTCTGATCAATAGACAAATCTTGAAATATTTGTAAAATATAATCCTACGTATTTATATATAAAAGAGCGCGTGATCGAGTGGTTAAAAAGTTAACATGCCTGAAAACCCTAACTTGATCCAAGCTTTTTGAATATAAAATTGGCAGACCGTTTTCTCCCAGAAAATGTACCTAAGGCCCGCTCAACACTGTTACAGCATAAACCACCACTCAGTCGAGAGGTTGTATTAAAGAAAACTTGTGACTTCTCGATGTAAGGCTGGTTGCTATTAATTTAAATGTTTAAAAACTAATATTTATATTGTCATCCACAGACAGATCGTTTGGCTGTATCACAGCTCATCAGTGTGGCTAGACGTCCGGTTTTCTCTAGTTAGGATCGAAAACAGTCTGAACTGGCGTCAGTCGGGAGAATTCTGCCACTAAGCCGTTGGCGCACGGCAGGGATGAATGTGAATTTAAGCGAATTTATTTTTTGATAAACACACGGTGACTGAGAGAACTCGATTCGATTTAGCGAAGAGTCTTGCATTATTAACCGTGATAGTCACTGTTTACAAACCCACACTTCCTCCCCATATATATATATATATATATATATATATATATATATATATATATATATATGGGTGACTTTGGTGGCCCGCTATTGTAGAGCACTTTTGCTTGACGCTTTAAGCCCCTCTACCATGGTGCTATTGTTCCTGGCATTGAGCACATTTTTGATACACCGGCAGACCATTTCTGGTGGAACTTTTTATTTATATATTTAATTTGATTTTTGGTTATTTCGATCTTGGCCGAACAGGTTACCCTCGCCCTGGCCAGTGTGGTTCATCATCGCCTGTTGGTTTAAGGGTTCCTATTTTACGAACTGAAGCAACCGACCGCCTCATGATGACGGGAAAGCGCATGAAACTAGAAGTCGTTTTTGGTCACTGCCCACTTGTAATTTAATTTAAACTATATATATAGTTGGATTGGTGTGAGTTCGTGACCCTGGTTTTACACGCTCTGCGATCGTCAGACGATTACGATTGTCTGATGATCGCAGAGAGCGTGAAACCCAGGGTCACAAACTCACGTCAATCCAACTAAATATGGTAGTACCGCGCATATATAATATATAAGTTAGATATATTAAAATTGCATATATATATATATATATATATATATATATATATATATATATATATATGAGTTTATCCTAACAAAAGAGGATCGATTTGTTTATTAAGTTTTATGAATTAATTTAAGGGCGATTTTTCTAATGTTAAATGAAAATACGGATGTTTTTCAAAAAGTATACAAAACATACACACTTGTTCGTATATTTAAAAAAAAAAAAACTTTTCACTGCAAACTAGGCGATAATGCCAGTAAGACGCAGATTATTACAGGGAGTGAAAGAGAATGAAAATACTTTAGTGACAAGGATTGAGTAAAAGACAAAATGGAACAGGTTTCTTGAAGACAGAAGATGGCGATTGCCGTTGAATTTAAAAATTTGGAGATTGTAATTATCAGGGAAAGAAGAAATCGAAAGGGATTTTCAGAGATGCAAATTGTGAGTGTTCCGCAGACTTGAAGTGCAGGAAAAGAAACTCGTTAAAGAAGAAGTGGTGGTTGCATCGCTATTTCAGCAATAAAGTGGTTAGGCCGAATTGTCAATCTAGTAGCACGCTTAAATTCATGTAGTCGGGATACCAAGGAAAAAAAAAAAGCTCATCAGAGCAATTGCCATGAAAATATTTGCAGATAAGACAGAGGGAAACCACGACATGTCGACGAGAAAGTACCTGGTCAGGATAGAATACATTACAAAACCCTATTTGAATTTTTTCAAGAATTCCGAGACAGTAGACGTGACGAATCAGAAGCCATATTGTTTGTCCAAAAGAAGGACGTGCAAAGTAAGATATTTAACCAATACGGCATTGATTAGGGCCTCGAGTACTTTGCCGAAAAGTGGTAAGATACTATTGGAAAGCTGGAAAGCAGAAAGCAGCGAAGCATTTGTTGTAAAGTTTGGAGAGAAAAGAAAGCCAGCTTAGGAGCGTATTTCTTTAGGACGACATCTGGGAACCCGTCACATACCCTCTGCCTAGTGGAAATCTAATTTAGAAAAGATGTCATAAACCAGAGGCAGGGTTATGAGCATTTCATTCAGTAGAGCCTCCGTTCTTAAGGGGGGGGGCATCTGGCAGGGGTTCTCCAGATGAATCGAGAGTGGAGTTGGAAGTGAACCGCCACAAAATTGCTATGATTAAGTGTGTGATGTTCAGAATGCAATGCACAGAATAAGTAAAATAAATAAGATCAGTCCAAAGGACAAATTAGCCAAGATAAGCAATTTCGATACTTATTTTAGTTAAACAAAGTCACCCGCCCCAGCAAAAAAAAAAAAAATAAAAAAAATAAAATAAAATAAAAAAAACAGAAAACAGAATTGATTAAGTGGTGTGTGTATTTAATTCCCAGGAGTAGTTCAACTGAAAGAATGACATGACATTTAAATTTTTGAAGATCAAAGTTGACTGGGAAGCAAGAAGCCGCAAGAGAGTTCCACAATGGAGAAGTGAGAAAGAAGAAACTGTTAACATAGAACTTACGGTTGCATCTAGCCATTTCAACTGTAAAATGAGAACATGTCACAAATCTAGTACTGTGCTTAAATTCATCAATTCAAGCTAACATAGGTTTATTATAACAATTTCCGCGAAAGCATTTACAGAAAAGGCACAGGGAAGCAACGTTATGGTGATAGGAAAGTGATTGAAGCCGAGATGCCAGGTCAGGACCAATAACACTGCAAATACTTTACCATGAATCTCTAAATATATAGTAGGTGCACCAGCAATATTCAAAGCAAGGGCGAATGGTAGACTTATAAGTATGTAAGATATATTCTGGCGTGAAATATTGTCGAGAATTCCGTGGACAGAAGAATCCGCACGGCACAACAACAAAATAAATCTCTGTGCACGTTGTGTACCCAAACGAGCAAATGGTGTAGATGTAGCTTCGTAAGCAATCGTAAAGCTTCTTTTCGAAAGGGATGAAGAAGCTTGTTGAACAATACCAGAAGTGAAATGGACGGTGTTCCCCAGGTCACTATCACTGGACTTATGTTGTTCTTAATTTTCATCAACGGACTTCCTACTGTCATCAGTTCTAAACATACTAATATGGAAACAAAGGGCATAATAGTATATATTGTTAGCATTATTAGTCAATCATAAAAATAGTTTCGTTGACATTTTATTACTTTACACATACACGTTGAGTATTTTATCATAAAAGAACAATTCTGATGATCACCAGTTATTCGATTCCATCAGGAATGACTTGTTATCATGAGAGGAATTCTTCGCTTCTATCATAAAATAATGATTCTAGTTATGATACGACGAATTCTTCATCTTCACCAGAAAGTAACGATTCTGTTTACAATGACAAGTAATCTTTGATTCCATCATCAAAGAATTATTCTAGTTATAATGACATTAATTCCGCGACTCGATTATGAAAGAATGTTTCTAGTTACGATGGCACGGAGTCTTAAATTTCATTGTGAAAGAACGATTCTGGCTACGTGTTCACGAATTCTTCGAAGACGTTTTCAATATCTTTAAAACTCTGACCAAGCAAAGAATGATAAATGGCAAAAAGCAGCTGAGTGTCTGAGAATGCTAGATTTGAAGAATATGATTTTTGATGCTTTGTACCTGCAACAAGAAGAGCATGATTGTAAAGTAGAAAAAAAGCATTAGTCGACCTTGCCCAGAGGAAACAAAAAAGTATTTTTCATTATAGTGCGTCATTCAAACGGGCTCACTGTGGCATTATGAATTAACTGTTTAAACTCTCTATCGTGACACATTGTCTTTCTCTCCTAAAACTTGGAGCGGGTTAAATCAGAAAAGAAAGAGGTAGGCCGGGAATTCTCACGCCATCAGATCATGTGGGATCCGCAGTTCGCTGGTGTCTCGTCTCGTCTGCGTCTCTTGCAGCCTCTCGCCCCGACTGCTGGGTCACTTAAGCGCTCTTTTTATATGTATTTCGCTCGACTCCCACCACACGTAAGGATTTATCAATATTCATATTAATTAATTATTTTCTCCAATTTTGAAGAAACGATACTGACCTTCAAAGAAAGCGGCCTGTTATTCGAAACAATACATTCTTCGACAGCAAACTTTGTTTATCATTCCTTTCTATATCCCGACGACAATCGGCCCGCGATCGGTTACTTATTCAAAACAATACTTTTCCCGATAAAAAAAAAAAACAACTTTGTATTTATAAATTCTTTCTATGTCCTTGACGTCAAAGAATTTCCTTTGTTGTCAACTTTTCAATATGACCGATTAAAATCTTTGCCTACTTTGCCCGTTTACAAAACCATATTTCACTTTGTTTACGTTATCGCTTTCCACATTCCACATTCCTCAAATAATAGTTTGGACCCGACATTCCATTCTGCGTTTTTGTTTATCAGAAAGGAAAAAAAAATTCTTTTTTTTCCTCGCTCCATATTTCACTTCATATATTCGCCTTAACGTTTTTAACATTTTTAACCCTTTCAAATCCTATACGGGGTCTTCACAAGAATCCTTTTAATTCAAATTTCTACCAATGTCAAAATAATGTCACAAATGACTTGTTTGTGTCAAGAAAGAAGAGAAATACAAGTTTTTGAACAGAGTTTGATATTTATCTTTGTAGGCGTGCGCTTACCCGAGTGTTTTAATCATTAGCTTTCCGACCCGGGTTCGAATCTCTCCGTTGTCAATTTGACAAGTCGGTGGCTTTTTAATAATATCGGACGGAGTTGATCAACTCCCGCGCGTCACTATAGTCTCTGAAAACCATCCAACGGGTTGACCCAAGTCGTCGATGGCTGTGGTGGCATGAAGTCACAAGTCATCGTGACTGAGAGTTTGGCCGTAGTAGACGTGTTCAACTGTTGATCACGCCAGGCTGCCCTCTCCCCCAGGAGCTTTAAATAAGCTCCGCTCAATATAGTTGCAGGTTGTCTCTGTGGGTGGTGAAGAATCACAAATGCATTTGAGCGGGTGCCTGAAACAGGGATTAGCTAGCCATTCTAATAGAATCCCATTTACCCTAACATTGATGAATATGTTCTACTATTTTTGTAAGTTTTCATGAACTGCAAAGACACTGATTCGAAGATGTTGCTATGAAATTCTGCATCAAATTAGAAATTGATTGAAGAAACATTTTTTATTCGCAGTTATATCTTTTTCAATCGATTTGTTTATTGCAGAATATCATCCACGGCATTGAAGCTGTTATTGACAATGACGTCATTCGCCTATGCAATTGTCTGAAGAAAGTTGAAGAAGCAGGGAACAAAATGTTTGAAGTCTTGAAGCGTATGAATGGTAAGTTTATATGTATTCAGAAATTCTACTTGAATACAGTAACGTTACATTAGATAGAAAGGAAAAACCAAAATCAAAAATTTTATGCACGACGATGTTAAGACATTCTTGCTTTTAAACCGTAAATTACCGGCCTAGAGATTGAAACACTTGCTAAACAAAATGCACCTCTCAATCTGTATTCCCATTTTAATCTGCGAAACAACGTCAAAGCCAAGTGTGCTTTATCGTTAAGCTACGGGAATCCATCAAAGCAATATTTCAGCTAATTATGAAAAGAAAATTAAATTCAACATTTCGTAACGCTAGGCTTTCAAATCTAACCTAGCAGCTATAAATGGAAATTCTTCACATATGGCATAATGTCAGATTGATGCCATGTCTAGACACATTTAGATAGATATTTATATTTCAGATATAATTTTAAATTTATCAGTGTATTTTATTCGTAAGATTTTTTTTTTAATTTACAGAAAAACTGACACCCGATTGTTTTTACTACGCAATGCGTCCCTTCCTGGCCGGGTAAGTTACTTCTTTTGAAAAAATGAAACACATTTAAGAAGCGTTATTCCTGTCTTACAAGTAGATTCGTGAGTATTTTTGAGATTCTTTGAAAGGGTTTTCAAATTAATATCCATCTGAGATAATCTAATTGACGCAAAAATGTGGCCACAATGGAGTAATGGGTAGCGTCTAAGATTGAAGAACCGGAAACCCGAGCTCGAATTCCAGTCGAGTTCATTGCATTCAATTATGTGCTCATACTCTTGGGAAAGGTATGAGCCCATCACTCCCTTCCAAGCTATAAATAGCAGGTTGGCAACCAATCTATAGGAGACGTCAGAATTTAAACCATTTGCTATCTTGTAGGTATAGGATAGAAGAAGGTAGCTTCACCTCGCATGTCGCCCCGAATAAAGAAATTGCTCCCTCGCTATCGAGCCCCGACAGAAAATAATGGACTCATCATGCTTAGTACAATGGTTTGAACAACGACAAAGGAAGGGCTTGTCGACCTCTCTGATTACGCCCATGGGCGTATCACCTACGACACTTTCGACGACAACGACGGCGACGCAAAAATAAAATTTGTTACCAAATGAAAAGTTGTGGGAGGGAAAGTTAAATCAGATTTTAAAAGATTAAGTCAAAAACCGTTGAATCTATATATTTTACCCGATTAAATGTTTACTAGTGGTTGGTTAGTGCTACCAATAATTAGTATAGTTACCCAGTTCCGACGAACGGGTGCCCGCGATAATACTTCCCTCATTGCTCTAAAGAGGTAGGATCGGCAATAATAACGATGCCAGCGCAACTGATAGTTGCGGGGGTCTGGACAATTTCAGCCCTGGCCCGGGTGCACGTCCTCTATCGACTCACATTGAAACGACCTTGTGTCATATCCTGTCACTATGGGAGGGTCAAGTACTTGGACGGGAGAAACAATACTGACTGCATATAAATCTCTATTTGAAAATATAATTACTGAATAAATTTATTTTAGATTTCTTTTCCTAGTGCAAAGATTATTTGTTTTGGTTTTAAATATACACTTTTTTGCTGATCGTTTTCTTGAATGAGAGCTATAGACTTCATTTTAACACCTCCGAAACAAAATTGCTCTTTGTTCATCATCTGAGAGAGACTCCTCTGCCTTTCATCAGCATGGCTGATTCTAACCTTCAGGAGACTGACTCGCAGCGCCTTTTAGGGCTAACGTTCCCGGCTGATATGAAGTAGAAAGTCTATACTGAATCCATTGCTAGTTCAGCTGCTAAGAAAGTTGGTTCACTGTATAGTGTTAGACTATTTTTCTTTTCACAAACTATCTTTTATATCTATGTCTACCATTCTTCCGTGCTAAGAATATTGCTGCCATATATAGTCTGGTGATCCTGCTTTTTTATCTATAGTTCCTTGATAAAATCTAAAGAAGAATAGTCAATATTTTTGGCCCTGATCTGGCATCTCGGCTTCAGTCACTTTCCCAGTTGCCTATCTTTGCCTTAGTTATAAATACTTCTATGGTAATTGTTCATATGAGCTCAGATGAGTTCCGATGAGCTCTTTGCTAAGCAAGATGACGCTTGATTATCAGCTTAGACTTTATCACGCATCAAGACGTCGAACTCTCAGCTTTCGGGCAGAGAGGAACTCAGACGAGGCAGAGTCTCATCTGGGGAGGCTGACAAACCCGACTGCGTGTATGCGAGGTCTACGGGCTCGGATTGCCCAACATAAAAATCGGCCTTGTGCCACATCCTGCCTCATGGCAAGGCCGGGTTAAATACCATCTCTTCGCTATGACAACCCGGTCAGTAAAACCCTCATTAATCATACTACCAAATCCCAAATTAATATTTAAAAATAACTATTAATTGATAATTTTCACACTTGTAAGTTGAAATAATTTTAAGCATTTCAAAATATATCAAAATAAGTCTGGCGTACGGGCGTCAAAACAGACACAAAAGAGGCCCGGATCAACACTCGTTACATCCGGCTTTTTTCCGTTAACAGGGGAACAGTTTGGCATGTCTATATACAGGCCTTCCTGCCACTGGATGCCTCATGCTAATAAAAGTAGGGTTGAGGGAACAAGCAGTCAGCAAGACACGGTGTCCTGTGAAGTCAGTCCCGTGGACATTTTTGTTCCTAAAGCCGATGTGATTTCCGATGCAGTACTATTTTTGTTACCTCCCATCTCTTTCTCCTCTCTGCCTATTAAACCCATAGTTGCTGGGAAAGCCACCGGATACGTGTTTCCCCCAACCTCAACACACTCTTGCCGTACGTTTCAACAAGAAGTTCCTCGCAAGGCAGGGATTCTTTTACCTGTAAAATAATCTCACATGGCCGAAAAGTGAAGCTTCAAGTGAACGTAACTTTTCTTGCCCAAAATCGATAGGGGAATTTTGGTATGCTAATGTATATTAAATAAGTTTTTTGTGAATACCAAGTATGATAACATTAGAATTTATTCCGGGTCTATCTATCATACATGACTTTACGCTGAGAGTGTCATGATGGATACATCATCCGATGACTGTCGGACAACAAAAGCATCAGGCATTTGCTGCTAATTAAAGACAAAGCTTCATATCTATTGTGTCCTTGTTAGGGCCAGAAATAAAGACACAAAGAGAGGAATTGTGTTAAACAAATATATTAACAGAAACAGTAATAAAAACATATACAAACGAGAGTGTTACAGCAAGAATGCTCGGTTCAACTGTCAGAGCTGACTGCTGGAAACTTCCCTCTCCAAAAGGCAGTACCTGCTCCTATTTTTAGCTGAGAGAGTGCATGCGTGCGTGGGTAAATTACCATAATAATAATATCACAAGTCATAATAAATGTTGCGAATGAAGTCCTTAATAGAATATTAGATGAGCATGTGGATTATTTATTAGATCATCAACGGCGCTATCGGTAGGCCTGGCGGAGAGCATTTAGACACTTGCTTTTGCCCGAAAAACACCGACATCGTAATATCTACCAGCTTATGGAGTTGAAATTTTAATCCCAACATCTTTTCGATAATAACATGATTCGTAGGATTCAAAGTTTTGTCAAATGATTCTGTCAAAATCTAAGAGGGAAAAAACTCATGATTTCAAAACCAACCTGAAGAGGGATGGGCTCCGTCTGGTTATCTGGCTGTATACATACCACTGTTGCTATGGAGGCAATACATGAGGCCCCCTATACGACTCTAATATAATTTATCGTCATACCCAGGACGCCTGGTTTGTGTTACATCGGAGTAAAACAATTTCAGCTTGCCCACTCATGCACATATCTGAGTCATTGACTTTCTTTGAAGAAACATTTTGATTCCCTTTAAGTTCTTCGAAATCTTCTTTAATGGCTTTAATACCCGTCGAAATCTGAAGGCAAAGACGTTTACCGTAGAAACTTAGACTGTTCAGGAATATCCTTAAGGTTACACTTCAGGAAGATCTATTTCAAATATAGTTTAACTAACACGTTCCACGCAACACCTGTATATAAAATTTTATATTAAAATACTTTTCTTGAACAGGTGGGGTACTGAGGGTAGCGCCATACCCGACGGGCTGATTTACGAAGGAATTTCTGAAGAACCACAGAAGGTATTTCGCTTTTCTATTTTTTTTATTGAATTTTCCAATCTAAATAATTCTCCGAGTTTTGTTCGAACCAGGCGGGTTTATTTGATAAATAAACTGTAAGATGAGATTGATGAATAAAACTAGAAACAAAACGATTAAAATTTATTTCCCTTGAACAAATCACATTCCATCCGTATTCCACACGAACAGCTTCTTCACGCGAACCGCTACTTTGCTGAACCGACTCCCAAGTGGATACTTCCCTGACCACTACAATTTTAACATATTTAAGTTTAGAGTTAACCGTTATCTTTTTCATGTATAGACTGCGCTTCTTAACTCTTACCGTTCACTCAAAAAACTTCTTCTGCAGCCCTCTACCTCGTGTGACTCTTTGGCCTTGTATGGATGAACATTAATAAAGGGTAGATTAATAAAAATAGTTTATATTTATTTTAAACTAGATTTACAACATATAAAATAATAAAACTGGTATAAAATGAAGTAAACTTCACTTCAAAATCATGACTGTGTATTGATAAGTACGTGGTTTCAAATCGTAAGGTTTACAATTCTATAAAACTAGTTTCAGATCAGATTGAATAATGAAACTACTATTAAAATGAAGTCAACTTCTCTTCAAAATCACGACTGTTGACAGATAAGTATCAGGTTTCAAATCGTAAGGTCTCCAAACTATAAAACTAGTTTCAGATCAGATTGAATAAAGAATCTATTATGAAAATGAAGTGAATTTATTTTTCTTCAAAATTAAGAGGGTTGATTGACTAAACAGAACAATGGAACCAATATCAAAATGAAGCAAATTTATTTCTTAATAGAATTGCTAGGCTAATTAACTCAGTACCGCAATTTTATAAAACATGTTTTAAAGCAGATATGATCTTCACAAATACGAAGACAATTAAGGAAGAATCACAATGTATAAAGCATGTTTTTAAAGAAGATATGATAATAAAACTGGTGTCAAAAATCATGACGGTTGGTTGATAAGTACGTGGTTTCAAATCATAAGGTTTCCAATCCTATAAAAGTAATTTTAGAGCCGACTTAATAATGAAGCCGGTATCAAAATGAAGCAAATATATTTCTCTTAACAATGATTAGGATAACGAAGTAAGGTCCGCAATTTATAAACCAGATTTTAAAGAAGATATGAAAATAAAACTATGTGAAAATAAATTTATTTCCCTTTAAAATTCCAAGTCTATTTATCAGAGAGAATGAAATCGATTAAAAGAATGAGGTTGAAAGATGATTATTTATCGGTGAGGATTGCGTTTGTTTTGCCAGCAAAGGGATTACATAAAATCCGGCCATAGCGACAAGAATTTGCAATACAGATAACAAAAGGACACATGTAAGACAAAAACAAACACACAAAAAAACAAACAAACGAGAGCTTATAAAGTAGCCAAAAGCAATTTCACGGATATTTCGGATGTTTCTATCGACAAACAAATTGAAATATAAAGGAGACGACATGACCATACTTAGAAAGATGACATTTGAAAAACTGAATCCCTAGGAACAGCATTTTAGAAAGATTTAATTAAACAACAGCTCTATTAGGACCAAACTGGATACATCATAGAAGTTTTCACAGTGTCTGAGGAAATAGAATGTGACAGATGGGTCGATTTTATGTTGAGCCCTATAGAATATTCCCGGAGAGTGTGGTAGAACTGAAAGCCAGAACAAGCATCGGATCCACTCTCAAGACAGCATTGCTAGAAGTCGATAGAATGTTGAGAATATCATTGAAGTATTAAATGAAAACTTGTACCCTGGAATCTCCAAAAAGCTTGTCATTTAATATCTAGTTTAATCCACTTGTGACAAACTCACGAAAACAAATAATAATAATAATAATATTAATGACACTGACGCACCAGAACTCATGGAATAGCTGTATATTGGCATGTTAAATTAATGGTCGATGGCACTACTGTATCTTAATATCATGGAATTGCCAAGACTTATATCATTTGCATTCTGACACTTGGTGAATCAGTGTGAACTCCGGCTAGGTTACTCATGAGAAGGTGTTGTGAACTAAAAGAGTTTGGACAGGGCATGGCCATGGTTCTTAAACGGATGCCATATTCTATTTATGAATTATTGACACCTCAATGTACAGAGTCACGTGCATACCGAGAATATTTGACGGGAGGTATTGCAGCCACTGTGGACAACGTAGTAGTGTGCCCCATGTCCTTTATTTATGTGAGCAGGGGCGCGTGACCAGAATTGTGACACTGGCTCATATTACATCCGTATTCAAGTAAGGATCATCATACACACATCCTGAAGGTCAGTTCTTAAGCATCCATAGGAGTAGAAAACCCACCAGGTTTGCTCTTTTAACACAACTACGCCGAACACTACTACGCCTTGTTTAGTTAGGTTGCTAATTGATTCTTGAATGACTGGCAACTTGTGGTGTGGTCCCAAGAATCATAATTTCAGTTGTTTTCGAGTTGCTGCCAGTGTTTTGATGTGAGGCAGATACCCCAAGACAATCGGCACCAGTTTCAAACAAAGCACTGAGTGGGTTGTCAGCAGTTTCTAGATGGTGTGATGTGTACATACATGACATGCATTGAGTTCGCCTAAACAGGTTATTTACCGGAGACCGCTACGTGATGCTTCTTAGAAATCTTTTTCCACTTTTCACGGACGAAGCATACATCGACAAAGATGAGCTATTCCAGTATGATAAGGCGCCGTATCATCGGGGCAACGTTGCCAAGAATTAGTTTGAGGAGCATGCTGGGGATTTCGGACGAATAGTGGCGCTACCACGTCGCCCGTCATGATCTCAAACGAGTATTGATGGGACGTGGTAGAAAAGACGATTCGTACACAAAATCGTGTTCCTACATTTATCAGGGTTCTGTTGAGAGATACTGAAACGGAATGACACAAAATCTTTCTAGAGTTCTTCGGACGACGCCAGGAATGGATACCACATCATGGTTTTGCACTTTGTCGCACTTGAGTGGGTCCATAACGATTTTGGGTACTTATCCCATGACGTGTATGAATAAATGCAATGATAAAATCATTTGAAATACTATTTTATATATATATATATATATATATATATATATATATATATATATATATATATATATATATATATATATATGTGTGTGTGTGTGTGTGTGTGTGTGTGTAATGTTTGAACAAATAATGAAACTTGACCACATATATTGTAGATGATTGGAGGAAGTGCAGGACAAAGTTCCACAATTCAAACATTGGATGTTGGCCTCGGAGTTGAACATAACGACGGTAAATTGCTTTTATTTGTATTTAATGTTGTGTAATATTTAGACTGACAATTTTTCTGTTCTATGTGTGGTGACTTGCTTCAGTGTCTCTGCCCATTGCCTTTGGGAAGGAGCCTTTTAAGATAATTATAAAATTTCTATGTCTATGAACCAACAGATACTTCTCAATTTGAGACGTTCCTGTCCAATTTAAACTGGTTGCATATATGTTATAGATGTTCGAAGAGGACTTGATTTCTGATCGTCAGCCCACTATATAATTGCTTCGTTGGTCATGAAAGTGCAAGTTATCGGTGTAATTCCTTTTCATCTGCAAAGGAAAGAAAGAGTGAGAGAGAGAGAGAGAGAGAGAGAGAGAGAGAGAGAGAGAGAGAGAGAGGGGGGAACAAAAATAAAAAAATCTTATTTTAAATCGTCTGGCCATTTCCAGCAATGTGGTTTAAGTCTCCAACCCATTGAGCTCATCTTGCTCAAAACCAAGGCTTTGCGAATGCTTCCCAAACACGAAAACTATTATATCTGTCAATTTTCTTATTATTTTAATTGTGGGTCTCCCTATACATATAGAATCCATGTTCAACGCTACATCAACATGACGTGTACTCAACTAGTCATGCGATTCAAGGCGCCTATCTACTTCGATCATGTCATGCCACTGCTTATGATAGACCCTACCTTTGATCGCGCTATCATTCACCGTTATTGGTTACCCCACATTGTTGAATTTAGTACAAGTTACAGTTATGTATAAATAATTTGAAGGAAAAAAGCTAATAAGATCCTATTATATTTTATTCAGATAAACAAAATTTCCTTGAAACAATGAGGAACTACATGCCAAAGGCTCACAAGGAATTCATTGAAACACTCCAAAAATCACCTTCCATTCGAAAATTTGGTAAGTAAATATCGCGATTTAGAAGTGCAGCAAAGTTTCAACTTCGTCAAAATCAAACAAACAAGAATCGATTGATTAGATTTTTTACAACTTATCAACCCGTTGTTGGTTATTTAAAGCAGAAACGTATTTTGCATTGTAAGAATAATTGTTGTTTTGAGAGTGTATTTTACATTAACAATTTTTATGAGAATAACAATGATTTTAGAAGAGACAAGTTTTACTATTTAATCCATAACTGGAGGGGGAGATGGATTCACGTATTTCCCAAGGCTATTTACGCGTAAGTGAATGTAACGAACAAGACTGGAATTCGAACTCGTTTCTCTGATTTCCGTTCCGTGACGCAGTCAATTACACCCTCCGCACATCCTCACAAACACCAACGAAAAGAAGAATAAAACAGACTGCGTTTATTATCCGTGACTTTCTGTTGTTGACTTAAGGTGACCTCTTCTTACATAGACATGCCAAATGCCAAATGCGTGTAGGAACGACTTTATTCTCTAATGCCCTTGTATGGTCATAAATCTAATGAAGAAACTTATGCCGAAGAAAAGCAATTTGACGCACTGTCCATAAATAAACTGATATTTTTACCGTTTTTATTTACTTTCAGTAACGGAAAAAAATAATCCAGAGTTAACAGAAGTTTACAATAAATGCTTGAAGAATTTGGAGCAATTTAGAAGTTGCCACATTCAAATTGTATGCAGGTAAGTATGTATGTATGTATGTATGTATGTATGTATCTATCGATTTCAATTTGTACGTATATATATCTCAGCTTGCCCATCCATATCTATCTATGTTTATTCATATCTATCTATCTATCTATCTATCTATCTATCTATCTATCTATCTATCTATCTATCTATCTATCTCTTTCTCTCTCTCTCTATATATATATATATATATATATATATAAAAGTTTACTCATATCTATCTATCTGTATATGTTTATTCATATCTATCTATCTATCAATCTATCTATCTATGTTTACTTATATCCATTCATCTATCTATATATGTTTACTCCTATCTATCTATCTATCTATCTTGTAACAACAACAAACGTTTTCTTGCGTAGTGTGTTCTCGCCTAATCGGATGGCCAACGGCTGTCAGTGTTACAGGCAAAACAAATACATATGTTGACACGGAAAAATTCCATTTTGTCATTAATTTTCCTAGATGTTGTATGTATATATATATATATATATGTATATATATATATATATATGATGGCCTGATCACAGAGTCTAGCATGAAACAGTCTGTCGCCTCTGAGTGTTGACTTCAATGTTCACTTATATATATATATATATGTGTGTATGTGTGTGTGTATGTATGTATGCATGTGTTACCCATGTGACTTATCACCACCAATGAGAGATAATCACGTTCTGTATTGCAGATAACGCTCAGCGTAAGTCAAATCGTTTTAGTTAGTGTAGGCGAAGTTACAGTGAATGTTGAATACAGGAATTCAAATAATTTTTTAAAATTTATTTCAGGTACATTGTGAATAAAGCAAAAGAAAAACAAAAAACAGATTACGCAAGCCTGGAAGAAAGGGGAACGGGCGGATCTGGTGAGTTTTACATCCTGTCGTGAAGTGATATAAAAAAACCTTCTGTTTATTGTGGGAGAAAGGGAAGGAAAAGAAAACGATGTATTTTTGGGGGATTGATGTAAAAGAAAGTGCGGCTGTTTCGAGTATTAACACTAATGGCGGCGTTAGGAAAGAGAGATGGTTCCACTTGTCCCATTATGGGCATTAGCAGGGCCGGTGCAGGGGTCTTGTGCTACCCACCCCCCACCTGCCGACCCGTGCTCGACCGATTCTATGATACAGCATTTCTCAATTTTCCTACAATAATATTAATGTGATATCTATCTATCTATCTATCTATCTATCTATCTCAATCTGCATATATATATATATATCTCAGCTTGCACATATCTATCTCAGCTTGCTTATATCTATCAGGAGAGATCTATCTATCTATCTATCTATCTATCTATCTATCTATCTATCTATCTATCTATCTATATCTGCATATATATATATATATATATATATATATATATATATATATATATATATATAATCAGGTAATGGGAAAGGAGAAATCAAATTGCTGATGTTCTGAGGAATGAGAGGACAAATTGTCTTGGAGGCACATTAATTACTCCTGAAATCCTTATATATTACAACGTATTCCTCAGTTAATCTTTACTCCCCGTTCAGTTTCCATTCCAGATGTATTTGATGATTCTTCTTGGAGGTAAAGTGACCAAAATCTCCCGAACAGCCCAGAACTCTCCTCAGTATTCTAACCGAATTTAATATCATTGTCGACTGAAAAATATCAATTCTCACTGGAATCTCCAGTTATTTTGTTCATTTATATTTTATGGTTTCTTTTTATTGATCTTTGAATACATTTTATTTGCAGTATATTATTCATATTTTAATGGGGGTGCTAGGCAGGAAAAGTATGAATCCAACTATTCTTCCCCAGCAATGGGTTAATTAGTAGGACTTATATCAGTAAATCATTATTATCTCCTAAAAACACTTACAGACTCTTGTAAAATAGTTTTGTATCCAAATAAACTGAAAAAGGTTGATAAGCCTAAAAAAAAACAACAACAAAAAACAAATCAATCAAACAAGTATATCGGAAAGGCAAGAAGCGAGAGGGTCTTACTTGTAATATTTCCCGAAGGTAAAACGACGTCGGTGGTATATTCTATGAAATTCGAGGAACTATATAGGCTCTTCTTTTCTCCCGACCTCTGTCGGCTTGCTATGATGTCTAGCGATGTAGAGGTCTATCATCAGCAACTGGTGTGGCCAGACGTGTCATGTTTCTACGCGTGCTCAATAGCAACTCCACGAACTCATGTCACTTAATCGTCTTAACCAAAGGGAGATAATCACCATTCAAATCCTCACACTTGATACGCAGTAGGTGAAAACAAAATATCGTAGCCGTTTGGGATGAGAATTTTCTTTTAGGATTTCTTTTGCTTTTGTTTTGAAAATCATGGAAGGAATAAACAATCTTTCTGAGAAATTTTCTCTTTTAATTTCAGATCTTATTCCATTCCTGAAAGGAATTCGCCAGACGACTAAAGATGCACAAATCTGAAGCCAAATGGCGCACCTAACACTTGCTGTACCACGGAAAATTAAAAAATGGTGGAATATTAATAGATATTACTCAGAGACTATAATAAAATCAGAATATGCGTGTGTATATACAGTCATATATGTGTGGGTGTGTGATTTGCGCCTTTGTATATATAAGTGGGTGCGTTATGTATTGATCCATATATTATATGTTGATCCGTCCGTATGTTCTATTTCTCTCTCTACTCTCTCTCCGCCATATATATATATATATATATATATATATAGATAGATAGATAGATAGAGAGAGAGAGAGAGAGAGAGAGAGAGAGAGAGAGAGAAAGAGAGAGAGAGAGGGAATATTGGGGGAGATATGCAACAGACATATAGCTTTTTTATTAAACTTATTTTTTATCCATGATCGCATATATATATATATATATATATATATATATATATATATATATATAGAGAGAGAGAGAGAGAGAGAAAGAGAGAGAGAGAAAGAGAGAGAGAGAGAGAGGGAGAGGGAATATTGGGGGAGATATGCAACAGACATATAGCTTTTTTATTAAACTTATTTTTATCCATGATCGCATATATATATATATATATATATATATATATATATAGAGAGAGAGAGAGAGAGAGAGAGAAAGAGAGAGAGAGAGGGAAGGAGAGGGAATATTGTGGGAGATATGCAACAGACATATAGCTTTTTTATTAAAATTATTTTTATCCATGATCGCCTATATTCCAAATAAACAAAGCATATAGAAGAATACGTGAAACTAATATTTCTTAAAAAAGAATGCAAGGTAAAATATTGCAAGGGAAACAACTCCTTGCAAGGGAGACAATTCTAAATATTTTTCCTTTCTTGTGAATTAATCGGAATTCGTAACTTGACGAAATCAATGTGTAAAATTGTTAAGAGAGAAGACCATGTTTAATCCTTTTTTAATTTTCAACAATGTTTCAACAATCTTTTGCATATATATCTAGTTTACTTAAACTTTTGATTAAAAAAAATATCGTTTATATGAGTTTTGTTAATACTTTTAATATTAAAAGTGAATGTTTCTTATTTTAAAACTGAAAAACATGGGCTGTATGAAATAAACATAATCAAAAATGTAATTTCAAATTGACGAAATTCTAATTCGTATCAAATTGTTTTTTGTCTGTGATTGAAATCATTTTTATTGCTAACTCTCTGGGTAGATGAGTTAGTTCAAGGGTTTGGGCACATACATTTAGTTCAGAGACATGCCAGTAACGAGATATTTAATCAAGATATCTTGTATTAGGACAGAGCATAAATAACCACAGTTAAAATTCGAATTCGATGAGATGGTTCTATTTTACTGACTTGGAATTAGGAACCTCCAAAAATTCAAACACTTAAGGTATACCTAAGGTTTAAATGTATTCTTCATAAAGGAAAAATCCTTTTCAAAGCTTTCCTCACGCTTCAATTGAAAGCTAAATGATTAACTTTTCTAATTACAGAAAAAAAATACTGTGGAGTATTTCAGATAGAAATTTGAATGATTTTTAGTTGATGCTTCCGAAAAACAAATCGAAACGGCCATTTTTAACCTTTTTTAGTGAAATGTAAACAAACTTATTTTTCAGTTTTTAAAATCTCGCTAAAATAAGATATACATTTCTGAAACGTTACTTTCTTAAAATAAGCAAATTTAAAGCTAAATTAATCTGTTCTGAAACAAAAATCATTTATAGCAAAAAATTCTCTAGACAAACATTTCTTGACCTCGGGGTCTTGTTATTTCACGTTTCCATCGATAATTTGATGGCTGAATGTATTGACAGGTTTAGTACGGTGCACCAAAATTGACATAACGTTTTTTTTCTTTCTTATAATAATTTAAAATACTATAAAAATTTCTTACATTATTAAGTTACCTCTATCTCTTTCATTATTTAATAGCTAAAATAATGATAAATAATTTTATTAATTATTAATATTATATTAAGTTATTACATTCTTAATTTAATAACTGAGATAATAAGCAATAAAATTATTATCATATTAATAATTAAACTATCTCACACAGTTATTAATTGTTTAAATTGATAAATGGGATAATTTTATTATCTCAATTTAATTTTTAATTTAATAACTGAGAGTGAGATAAGACCTTTATATGTCAAGGGGCTTTCCCCAAGGAGAAGACAAGCCTTAAAACACGTCAACTTTTAGCCATAATGTCACTTATGCGATATCACACTAAAAAAATATAACATCTTCACGCACAAAAAATATTTTTAATTATGGTAAAAAGTTTTGGTAGCATTATTTGTATGAAGCTTTTAATTTTTGTTTAGTAGATATAGTCTTCACTTAAAGACTTAATAACCTACCCCATACTCTGTTTGGAAGAATTTTAAAACATTTTTTAAAATTAAAGAAAAATGAAAAAAAAAAAAAAACTAAAGAAAAATGCAAATAATTCTTGTAAAAATTCTTTATTAACCGAAAATTTTTTTCTTCTTTTTGATAATTAGATAGTTTATTGCAGTTTTTATTTTACGATTTGGAGCAGATTTTTAAAAAGGTGGCAGTACTTGATGATTTAATTTCTCTAAGGAGTCCTGCTTATAAGTAATGTGAAAAACTTTACGAAGTGTTTGAAATTCTAGGAAATTTCATAAATTTAATTTATGGGGGGTAACAGATTTAAAAAAAAAATTCCAAGATTTTCTAAAAATAAAAATTTCAAAAATAAATTCATTCATTTTTTTAATAAATCCGAAAAGTTTCATTAAAATCAGACAATTACTGATTTTTGCAAGAATTTCCAAATTAAAGGGTTTCCCCACCCCTGAAACTGCTACACTGCTGGCCATTATCACAAATAATACAAAGTTAACAAAAAAAAAACAAAAAAAAACACCAAAATTTTTTACCCAAATTTAGAACGTGTTAGAAAGAAGAAAATTTTAAAAATATTTTTAAAATAATTTGTTTTCCACTTAATAATAACTTAAACATTTTAACGATAAAACTTTGTTTTTATTAATTTGGTTTTTTTTTTTCATTATTCTATACTGATTTTTTTTAGCAAATTATTGGAGGTACTTACACAATACCGCCATTTTTCATTTTTTTTTATTTCCCGTTATATATATATATATATATATATATATATATATATAACAGAGTAGATAATTTCGTCAATAAAACAAAGTCAAACGAAAGGGCACCGATGTGATCCGTACGAAAAACATTTGTTAATATTAACCAGGTGACAAGAATGAAGTGCGGAGATTGAGGTTCCAAGTTCGGAATTTTCGAACACACTTGTATTCTTTATCAGCGGATGTGAGAAATAAACATGGAGACTATCGAACATTTATTCTTGAGGCTGGGTAGAGCCCGCTTGTAGGTGGAATTGTTAGAAAAATCCATTCCCTGTTCGATTTCTCGCTGTGGTAAACTATGTGAAAATAACCTTGGATTTGAAAATTGTGATTAGTGGTGGGTGGAAGGGGACTGAGATATTGAACATAGAGGAAAAAGGGTTATAGAACCAGGGGTGGGGACGGTATTAGTGTTCAAAGATTTTTTTGAGTTAGGAAGAGTGTGGGAACATAGCTAGATTGTCAATAAAAGTCAAATGAGAGAGAGAGAGAGAGAGAGAGAGAGAGAGAGAGAGAGAGAGCCCTGAAGCCAAGAGCGGGAGCGAAACCGGTTGCTTCCCCCGCCCCGTTGTTGTGTTTTTTATTTTTTATTTTTTGTGTTTAATATGTCTTGTAATATTAAATTTTTTATACTTTTATTTCGATCATTAAGTTTTGTACCTACAAAATATCTTTAAATATATATATATATATATATATATATATATATATATATATATATATATATATATGAGGCATATTTTAGCAGCAACCTTTCTTTCAGACATGTTTCGTTGAATATGACACGAGGAAAATTTGATGGATTTTATTCAGTTTTTCTAGTATTCTTAAATTTTATCTTTTGGTAAGCATAAGGGAGTATAAAAATTCTCCGTCCTTTGTCAATGAAAAGAAATTAACTGCAATTAGCGCTTGACACTGTCTAAAGAAGGGGAAGAAGGTCTGTTCTCTAAAAGACAGTTGTCCCTAACAGCTTAAAGTAGGGAACTGCTCACCCGTCACGCGGACGAAGGCACACGTCCGTTACCCTGTTCCTCATCATCTCCCTCGGCTATAGCCGATCCTTACGGCAAAGATTGCAACTAAATAATATTTGCCGTCTTTGAAACAATTTTTGGCAAATGGAGCCAGATAGAAAAAAGCGTTGTCTTGCATAAATATATTCGGGTGTCTGAAAAGTAATTATTTTTTACGGGAAATTTATTCAAATATTATTATATTCTGATAGTTGTTATATTTTAACTGAAATGACGTAAAAACAAATGGAATTCCAATTTAATTAAATACTATTTAAAAAAAATCAAGGACTACAGTTCAGCGTGAAGGCAAATTTTCGATTTCAGGGTGAGTATTTTCATCGAGTCTCTACACTGGTTGGCAAGCAAGGCTTGAGACCAGTCTATAATGCTGTTTAACCCATATTTGCCGGATGGTGAATGGTGGTGGAGGGGATAAGAGCTGAATACACAATTTTCTCAAAGTTATCTGTGTGTAAATGAAAGTTATGCACTCGCACTGATTTTAAAACTCAGCTTGCCTGCCATTTCCTCTCTCCTTGTCGTTAACCGTTAAACTACCTGCACACCCATTATTATTATTATTATTATTATTATTATTATTATTATTAGCTGTAAAAAAAACCCGCAATTATACCTGTATTAAAAAGCTGATGTCTATTGATATTTATGGAAAAATCATTAGAAATGTGAAATAGAAGGTATTTTTAGACACTATAAACACTATAATTACTTTAAAACAACACACACACACACACATATACATATATATATATACCCACACATATCTATATATATTTATAACATTAATTTAAGAGTGCTCAATACCAAAAGT